TGGCTGTGCCGCGCATCCCCACCCCCGCACCCACGAGCGAGGCGAGGCGAGGGATCGGGCGTCAACCACCCACCAACTCGTTTCTGGTTGCTCGCCGCGGGTCGCCATCGACGGACGCGAGCGAGCGAGCCCAACCCCGGGAACCCCTGCCTTCCTCCCTTTAATACCCTCTCGATCATCTACTGCAGCTCGCCTCGCCTCGCCTCGCTCGCTTCCAGACCCAGCGGCCGGAGCGAGGCGGCAGGGGTGCCGGGGTGCCACGGTGGCCATGACCATGAAGCAGCCGAGGGGCCGGCAGGAGCCGCGCCGGATGGGCAACGCCGCCATGGTCGTCACCATGCTCGTCTCCCTCTGCGTCCTCACCTACATCAAGGCGCGATACTGCTCCAACCCCTTCCGTACGTCGCCGCCTCTCCTCCTCCTCCTTCAATTCCTCCTCCTACTCTCCTACTCTTGCCTTATCCACCAACCTGACCGCCCATCCACTGATTCCACTGCAACTGCAGCCAAGGCGGCGGAGGAGCTGGAGGTGGTGGTGGACGAGGACTACGACAGCACGCGGTACAAGCTCTCAGGCCCCATCGGCGAGGAGGACTTCGACCCGTCCCGCCCGACCTGCTACAACACCAGCAAGCGCTCCGAGCGGTGCGCCGCGGTGGGCGACATCCGCGTGGACGGTAACCACTCCAAGATCTACATCAATCCTCTGTCCCGCGAGTGGAAAACCAAGCCGTACGCGCGGCTGCACGACCCGGTGGCCATGGACGACGTCCGCGAGTTCACGCTCGTCCCCTTCGGCGGCGGCGGCGGCTCCCCCAACGACACCACCACCGTCGTCCCGCCGCTCTGCACGCGGAACCACTCCGTCCCGGGGTTCCTCTTCTCCAGCGGCGGGTTCGCGGGCAACCTCTACCACGACTACGCCGACGTGCTTGTGCCGCTGTTCGCGTCCACGCACCACTTCGGCGGGGAGGTCCAGTTCCTGCTCGCCGACATCAAGGACTGGTGGGCCGACAAGTTCAAGCCCCTCTTCCGCCAGCTCTCCCGCTACGACGTCATCGACGTGAACAACGACCAGGAGGTGCACTGCTTCCCGCGGATCGTCATCGGCTCCACCTTCCACCGCGCCATGGGCATCGACGCGTCGCGGACGCCCGGTGGCGAGACGGTGGTCGACTTCAAGCGCCTGCTCCGCCGCGCGTTCCGGCTGGAGCGCGCCGTGGCGTCGCGGTCGGGGGCGCCCCGGCGCAAGGACCGGCCCCGGCTCCTCATCATCTCGCGCAAGAGCTCGCGCCGGTTCGTCAACGAGCGCGCCATGGCGCGCGCGGCCGCGGCTGCGAAGTTCGACGTGCGGATCGCCGAGCCGGACAACCACACGGACATGCCAAACTTCGCGCGGCTGGTGAACTCGGCGGACGTCATGATGGGCGTGCACGGCGCCGGGCTCACCAACATGGTGTTCCTCCCCAGCCGCGCCGTGCTGGTGCAGGTGGTGCCGTTCGGCGGGCTCGAGTGGCTCACCCGGGTCACCTTCAAGGACCCCGCCAGGGACATGGACGTCACCTACATGGAGTACAACGTGTCCCTGGAGGAGAGCTCGCTCAGGGACCTCTACCCGGAGGACCACTTCTACCTCAAGCACCCCTACGACGTGCACAAGAAGGGATGGGACGCCATCAAGACGGTGTACCTCGACAAGCAGAACGTCAGGCTCAACCTCACCAGATTCACCAGGACGCTGGAGCAGGCGCGAGATCTGTTGCCGTCGCCATGACTGAGGTTTCACTGCTGCAGGTTTCACTTCAGATTGGGCTGTTCCCTATTCCCTGCTGCAGGTTTCACTTCAGATTGGGCTGGCTCTCCTTGCTTCTTGCATTGCATTGGAGCTAGCTGCTCTGCTGCTGCAGCCTGCAGCTTCAGCTTCAGTTAGCTCGTTGGTTGATAGGCAGGCTCACTTCACAGTTCACACCATGTCTTTTTTGGATTTTTGTTCTATACTCCCACAGTCCCACTTGTTTTCTCTTCTCCTTTTCTCTCCCTCCCTCTCTCCACTCTTGTGGCAAGATTCATTTCTTTCATTGTTTTTTTCTTCTTTTTTTCTGGGTAAAGGAGGAGAGGAACAAAAACAAGGTCTGGTCGTGTCCAAGGTTAATTTACACACACACTGTAAATGATTGATTGTTGTCGGTAAAGACCAACACGAGCAAAAGGTAAATTATTTGTCCATATAGCCCATCATCTGCCCATGTAGGGTGCGGTCCGATGTGATCATGACTGCCATTGGCAGGCAAATTTTTCCTTTGAAGATTCCCAGTGTGTACCAATGTGGCCACATATGTCCTGTCCTGTCCTGTTCCCTCATCCTCAGCAACGGAGGCTTGTGACAGGCATTCACTAATAAGGACATTGTTTAGCGCTTGTTTAGTTCTCACCCTAAATTTTAAAAAGTGCTACAGAGCCATCACATCGAATTTACGATATATGCATGGAGTATTAAATATAGACGGAAAAAAAAACTAATTGCACAGTTTGGTTGAAAATTGCGAGACAAACGTTTTGAGCCTAATTAATTCATAATTAAATACTAATTGCCAGATAAAAACGAAAGTGCTACAGTAACCCAAATTTCAAACTTCCCCGAACTAAACACGGGGTTAGGAGGTCATCGCTTTATCTGAAAGCAGCATGATGCTTCAAGTCCTCGCCAGCACAGCCGTTAGCTTAACGCACCACCAACCCCCTGTCTTCCTCTGTTTCTCCGAGAAGCCAGTTTGCAACGAGTAAAACCTGCTTGTCTATATGTGCTAAACATGGCCGACCCTAGCTAGCCTACCGTTTACGGACCAAGGAAGAGGTCTTAAACAAGGTGCAGGTGATGCAGCGGTTGCTCAACTGTTTCCCACACGGAAAAGAAGGGTACGACAGTTGACAAGACCGTAAACCAACCGAAAGGGGAGTCATTTCCTTTCTCTCTTAGCCAACCAGAGATTATTATCTACTACTAGTACACAAACGTGACCATCAGATGAGATAGCATGCCATCGATCAGCTCCGGAAAAGGCCCACGCAACCGACCATGGCAGCATCCTGAAGCATCATCCCTGGCGATGGAACTCCTGAAGCATCGCAGGAATGTTTACACACTTCATCGCTCCATCCTTTTGGCATTTCCAAGCATATTGCAAAAAGATATACTCTATGTCTAATCTAAGATATATTATAAAAACTGTGCATTTAGAAAAGTCAAAATGAGTCATAATTTGGAATGGATGGAGTAGTAAATATATTTCAGATGAGAATGATTAACCCAAACAGTCAGCAGGGGGAGTATTTGAGATCTGGAAACAGCTCAGCGTCCACGACAACCTCCACTTCCAGAGCTACCAAACTTCTGCTGCTTCCTCGCCTTTCACGGTGCCATCATTGAGCTGCGGAAGCCACAAAGAAACGTACTCCAAGAGCATCACATGTAAGCCAAGTACCCTGCTTTTAGGATGATAGTTCAGTCCTACCAGATCCAGGGCGTCAAGCTTGGAGTTGGAGCTGCTGCCTAGTGCCTCGAACCGAAGGGCTCATATAGACCTACAACTACAAGATCAACTATTTCAGTCACCTGTACTTTCAAGAATAAAAAAACGGGCTAATATTAGCAAGTAATTGAGTTTCAGCTATAATGTATGATCTAACTTTTTATGCATAAAGGCTGGAGCTTCATTATTTCACTACAAATTGAATCCGAAATTCTCAGTTACGGATTAGGATGAATAAATGACAGCCGTGGAGAACATCAGCAAAAGCATCGTCGTCTGTTTGGCCAAAAACACAATGGTCCTCAGAACGAAATGCAGCTGTTCAACAGAAAATGAATGCAGTCGTTGAAAATACAAATTCACCCTTTCTTGGTCAGAGATCATTGTCTCTGCTTTTGTCAGGTTCACCCTTTGACAAAATTTTGAGATAGACCTAAGTATTTGGTCCTGTATGCTAGTCCATGGTCGATAATGATGCTATCCATTGGAAGCTCAGACTTGGATACTGCTTTACGTGCTGGAGACTTCTGTGCAGCAGGGGGGAGGAACGTGTGAGACAAATATATATTTAAGGTTACATTGTTCATACTAGTACTTCATACCAGTACTGTGGCCCTATCATTATCACTCAACACAGTGAAGTTTCAAGAATTCTCTTCAAAATTCTTTGGTCAGGTAACAAATCCTTTTCTTATTCTTGTTTTGGTTCGGTAAAATGCGTGGGAATACACTGTGTGGGCGATTTCAGTGCGTTGTTGAAACATGAAAATGCCACCTTTTACTAAAATAAACAATAGTCCACAATATACCTCCCAAAGAATGTGGACATATTATAGTGAAATGGTGCACCTTCTCCTTTTTTTGCCTGAATATTTCTCCTTTTCTCTATATCTATAACCGAGAGATCCGTATCAACAACTAAAGCATGATGGACTGTTACATCAGATGCTTGAATGCTTTCTTTAATATCGAAGCTATACACTAGCAGAGCAACCTCATCAAGGAAAGGACAATGGGTTAGGTAAAATAATGCATCATAATAGTAAATTAATGATGTGTACTGTCTGCCATTAAATAATCGTGGACCATAACTATACGATCTGGGAAAGAGGGGGGAAACATAAATAAAAGCCTTGCAGCAGTGATATTTTACATGTTTTTATGACTTCAATTTCTGTTTTCCCGGATTTTCTTCCATCCACTCCCACCAAAGCCAAAATTGGCAAACTTTGTTTGGAAAGTTCCTCTGCAGTGCACACCTTTTATGAACTGCGTATTGTGAACTTATGCTAAATAGATGTGTAACATGAGTTAGTCATGCTGCTTGGCTAGCAATGTAATATTTCATGTTGAAGTGTTTTCACCGTATTGACTATACAGAAAAAATTCTCAAATGCTGAAAAGTATCAATTATATAAAAGAAAACAGCTACCTTTAAGGGAGGTATCATCACAACTGATGACATTCAGGTCAATGTAATGCTGCCATCTGAACACTGAACTCTAGCTCGGGCCTTTTCAGCCTAGAACAGTAAAAGATGCGAAAGAGTGGTTAGTTATAGCAATTAGAGAACATAGTGATATACAGCATTCACATCAACACGGCACAGGAAAGCATGATTGGTAAGTGACGCCTACAGAAGAACCAAAACAAATGTCGCACAAAAAAATGTCCACACTTTGTTCTTTTTAGTTGTAGGAGATAATATCCACTTTGATTAGAGGTGGCCGCCCACGTGTAGTAGTGGTAGTTAGTCGCATGTCCCAGGAATTTAAAGTGAATCATACTAGTATATGTCTCTTGGACAAATATAGTTAACTCCAGGTTAAACTAGTGATGATGAAAATTGAAGCAAGGTGCTATGCACGAGTAGGCCTGTGCCTATCGTTAGTGGAGTGAGGGCAATGCTTCAAGCAAATTTTAGAACTGAGGTGCCACATGCATATTGCAATATAGATTCAATTTGTTCTAAATAGGCCACCTTATCATGCCAAGGTGATATACAGATGACTAATGGTTGCCATGGATTAGTTTTTGAAAGTAGCTTAGAGAAAGAATAATTGCAATATTATTTCTTAGAGAGAAGAAATCCCAGCAATCTATAGCGATTAGTTTTGCATTCTGTTCCCCATTGATGCAAACCTGCTCCATGTGTACAGTCCCATGCCCGGGCTGCTCCCTCTCACAACTAAGATCCAATTCCATCAGTAGAAACAGAGAGCATGCATTCCGTTGATTGTAGCATAAGAAGTTTAAGGGTGTGCCTCTTCATTCCAGTTGGTTCGAAGCATCATCACAACCAAAGCAAATATTTGCACTGCCATCGCACATGAAGGGAACACATATCAATATATATCTTATCATAATTACATAAAAGTAAAACATAGTCGAACCTACCTTACCACCAATCTTCAGAATAAATGCAAAAGTAACAGCTGAAGGGAGACCAATAGCATAGTAAGCAAACAGGTTGATAACTGAGCATACTTTCTGCCAGCCACATCCTCGAGCTGCGCCTTAAAATCAACAGGCAGATAATGAACATATGTCAGCCAGGATCAGTTAGACAAAGGATTACTGATATTATGATTGTGGAGTGTCACGGTAGAATCACTGACAAGTCTGATTCAATCACTACCACTCTTGTACATAATATTTGTGCCGCTCTTCTTTTTTCTCGACCGTACCATGAGGTACGTATTTCATTAAGAGGAAGTGGAGTTTTTGAAAATACAAGGTTCAGAGGTAATCCCGGGATTACCATGGGAAAAATAGGAATTACAATAGGTTTTTTTTACATGATACTTGCGCCGCTCTTCTTTGGTAAAGGGATATATGATACCTAGAAAAAACAATAGGTTTGGAACAGCAATGATCCTAATTTGGACTGTATGGCTTACTAGTGAAACCCTCTTACTTGTAGCATGCAATACCAAACATATCCCCCCCCCCCCCCCCCTCTTATGACTTATGAGAGCATTGAGCGTGTTGGGTATGTGATCATTTTTACATTAACCTGCTCAGGCGGCATATCAAAGACAATTAATCTACATGGATTGATGCATCATAATGAGGCAAGCAAACCAACACCAAGACCAAGTGACCAAGTGATCAAACAAAATAAAAGCTAAGCAACTTTACAATAATGATATTCTGATTACAGTATCTGCATATGAATTTCCCAACATGGAGCAGAAGTACGATATGAATTTCCGATTACTGAAAGGGAGGAGGCATTTCAAGTTTCATTTGCTTACCTGACCGACAAAATTGAAGTTTCCAGTTTTGGATCTGGAAGAAATCCTGCTAGGAGAACCACCATCTCAAATGCCCAATACTCCAAGCTGAGCTATCTTGCAAGTCAAATAACCAGTTCCATGCAGAAAGTAGGTAAAAAGGTACACATTACTTCTTTGCCAAACCATAAGTTAAACACTCAAGACTCATTGAAATACATGTTTTTCACATGGTGCCCCATATCAGGCTTACCAGGTCATAAAGGTAGATGGAATTGCTAGCTTTAGATATACTTTGGCATCCTTTAACTTCAGTGCCTCCCTTGACCATCCGTGCCAACTTCTTCTGCCATCTTCAGAGACTTTCACATACACAGCTAGGAATGCCACATTGAACCAGTAAGATATTGAGGTTGCCAGAGCTGCGCCTTTGTGGCCAAGGCCAAAACCTTGAACCAGCAACCAGCATAGCATAACATGAAGTAGCAAAGTAAGTCCAGAGCAAGCTACCAATATCTGGACAATATTTTGGGTCTGCAGGAATCTGGTAAGGCACTGAAGCAAACCATACACGAAAAGGCCAGGAATCAACCACTGAGCATACAGTCCAGCTTCAAATGATATCTCAGGATTTTGACCAAGGGCGATAAGTATTTGGCCAGCGAAGGCCAAAACAAAGGCCAGAGGAACACCCGAAAGCATAAGAACAATTATCGCCCTTTGCGTGTGTGTCCCCAGCATGTCATATTGTCTTGCTCCGTATGATTGTCCACAAAAGGTATCCAATGCGCTTCCCATACCCAGCTTGACATGGAAAAGAGGAGCATGAATTCCAATTAATTTACTGGTAGCACAGTAGGCATCACGCAGTATAGCACTGGCCACTGCGCAATAAGTCAAAACTCATATGCCGCTCTTACTTCTAGAGTTGTAGTAGGTATAATTATGGAGCATGTGGGAAACTAATTGGTGTAATGCGCAAGCATTTACATAATTCGTACTAATTTTGGTTATAATTTCCTTAAACAACTAGCTCCTACAGTGTACATGTTCCGATTCACAATTTCACATCCCCTCCCTGCTCTTCAGACTTATGCACAAGCAGTAGCACATACCGAGACCCGAGTTGCACAAATGTCTGAGTGAAGAGAGGTTACAACCACTGCACGTATCAGGACGCTGAAGCCGGTGACGTTGGCGAAGGAGGCGGCAACGGAGGCTCCGGAGAGGGAGAGCTCCCCTAGGTGTCCGGCGAACATGACGGAGACCACCTGCAGGCTGTACTGCAGCAGGCTGCACGCCACCAGCGGCGCCGCGACCTCCACCGCGGGGCGTGGAGCGGAGCGGGGCATGAGGAGAGGCGAGGACGCCGCCTCCGTCGCCCCGCCGGCGCTAGCGCCACCCATTTCGCTATCGCGATGGCCTCACGGGCTCGGACCCCCGGGTTTGAGTTGACTAGCGAGTAGCGAATTGAGGGGAGCGGGGAGGGGACAGTTTCGGCTCGGACCCCCGGGTCTGATTGGCTGCGCAGTCGCAACGTGGCACGGACAATCTGGCAACTAGCATGTTAAGGAAAGGAGAGGAACTTCCGCATGAAAAGGCGGTGCATGATGGGCTAAAATCTGTCAAACTCTGTTTTCAAATTTTTAATTTAAAATAGTTTCTTATCTTCGTCTCAAAAAAAAAAAATAGTTTATTGTAACTTGTGGGTTTTTTTAACCATATAAATCTTAAAAAATACAATAATGATTCAGTCCGTCCGTGACTCCCGAGTCCTGTCTATTAGAAAAAAAAACAAATTCCCACTCCGCTCGGTGCCCAAAGCGCCTGGCTGCTCATCCATCCGCCGCCTTCCCCCACCGCGTGCTCGTCGGGTTACCGCACCGTGCCCTTCCCCCTCACCGGCCGCGTCGCGCACCCTCGCTCCCTGAGTCGCTCACCTGCGTCCCAGTCACTTGCGCCGCTCGCTCCCTCGCCGTCCATCCGTCGCCCATTGCCGTCGGGCGCGTCGCTGACTCCACCATGGCTGCTGGGGCACACGTGCCGTGGTGCCTCAGGTCTTCCCAGACGAGCCAAGGGCACCAATGAGCGTGGCCGGTACCGGTGGTGCTTGCACGCCGTCGGATCCCACCCCGACCACCGGAATCGAACGGCCTCGGCCTTCCCCTCCCCTATGTTGTAAATGTATGTTTCAAATGTTTTATGGATGTTGCAAAAGTAGATCGGGATGTTGCACATGTTGCATATTTTTGCAAGTGTTTTCAGTGGTATGTTGCAAGCATTTAAAAAAATATTTCATCTGTTTTAGACGTATATTGAAGCAAGTGTTTATCTAGATATTGCATATGTTTCAAACACATGTTGCAAGTGTTTTATCTGGATGTTGCATATGGTTCACACATATATTGCAACACTATATCTCGTGTCCGACGTATGTTGCATCCAAGTGTTTTCATGTTGCAAGAGTTATAGGGGGCATGGTGAGTGATGGGTGCATGGCCCAAGCACCGGGGGATGGGGCGCGACATAGCTGGGGATGGGCGGACGGGGACGCAGCGAGCTAGAGGCCGAGTCTCGCCCACGCAGAGAGAGATATGGGGACTGGGGAAGGAGGAGAGGCGATGGGGGCAGGGTGAACATGCAAGGCGGGCGGGCTGTGACCCGCCCATCCGAACGCGAGGAGTGGCGGTGACAGCATCGAGGGTAGGGTGCATGTATGAGTCCGAGCGATGCAGACGGAGGTGGGCTGCGTGGGCACGCGTCCGGACACTAGCCACGCCCTAAAAAATAGTTTCTTATAACTTGTGGGGGTAGTGTGTACCTACCAAACTTACCAACTACTAAGTCAATCCCTCAACGAGGCTTGCATGTGTATACTGCATGAGTACTACAAAGAGTTGCAAGCAAAAAAATGATATCCAATCTCTCATTGTTCCATTTTAATTAGGCAAAATTGGCTGTCGAACATCCAAAACGATGGTCATTTGCTGGCGAACACCTATTTTGGAGCAGTTTGTCAGAAGACACTCTGGTTCGTTGAAATTTGGCTACAGGACACCGTGCCTCATTTTCAACCGGTTGAGGAGAGAGAAATTTTCGTGCCCCTGAGCCACAGTTGGGTCCGCCCCCAACCTGGTCTGGTTGGACCACATAAGAACCGGCCCCGACTCGACCGTTAATTGTTTGACTCTCATTCCCCATCTCCACGATAAAAGCAGCGGTGGCGGCGACGGACGGGCGTGCGAGCGGGCGTGGCGTTGGCGGGCTGGCGTCGTCGACACGAAAGCGCAAGCAGAGGCTGGTTGAAGATGGCGACAGGCTCGGGCGCTTCGTCCTCGACAGGTTCGCTGTGCCCTTTCTGTAGGACGGCGACGGTTGTGGAGTGGACATCTAGAACCCAAAACAACCCAGACAAGCAATTCTACACTTGCAGGAATCGTGACTGGGTGAGTTATTTGCATCTTGCTGGTCCATTTTGGCATTTTCAAATCGGATCTAGAGTTCATCCAAATGTTGTGTTCTTTAGTGTGATCAAGGCAACACGCGGTGCAGTTTCTTCATGTGGAAGCCAGTGAGCGCAGGAGATGGCGTGGATGTTGCAGTAGTGATGGCCGGCTTGAAGGCTTTGGAGAATTCTGTGTTGAACCTAACAATGTTGTAGTAGCTCAGAGGGCTGATGTGAGTAGAATAGCTGGAGAGTAGTGAGTTCTTAGGTGGATGAATGTGGCCAGTGTGTTTGTAGGAGTTGTATGCTTTTGTTGCCATGTGCATGTTATTGTATAACCAAGCATGACCTTAGCTTTGTAATGTTTGTGAAATGAATGAAATGCAGTTATGTGACATTGCCCAGGTTAATAAATTTTTAGCATGACCAACTTGAATAAGGCCAGCAACATACAACAAGCAACAACAGCCTTGAATTCACTATATTACCAAGCCTTCGAATTCACAAGAATACAATACCAAGTTCACTACATTACCAAGTTCTGCCAAGTTCATATGCCAGATTACAATACCATGTTTAATACATTACAATACCAAGTTTTGCCAAGTTCATATGGCACAGGTGGCTCAAAAGCACACAAAAGCACAGAAGTCAAAAGCTTTCTTCTCTTCCTGTGTTGCTTGCAGTGCCTAGACGTCCATCAGGGCCCTCTTGCTCCTAGTGCATGCGCTTGGACTGGATGTCAGCGTTGAGGTAGCCTGACTCTTAGTCACTGCCCTTGGGGTATCTGCCACTTGCTGTTTGGCCTGCCACCTAGTGACCGGGGAGTTTGGAACCCTGCAAGATGAAACATGTGGTTAACATGTTTTAAACTAGGCGTGCCTTTAAATTAACTGAAAAATAGTGCCAAGAGATGGATCACTTACTGCATAGTTTGATCAGGAGGTGTAGGCTCAGCTGGAGTTGTCTTCTTCTTGTTGGGTTGTTTCCCCTTGGAGGAGGCCTTCCTCTTCTTCTTCTTAGATGGATCATCTGTGATTTCTATAATCTCAACCACTTTTAGCTTGTAAGTCCTTTTCTTCTTTGGTGGTGCAGGTGGTGGTGCATCAGGGTCTAGGACAGTTTCATTGTAGGTTTTCTGGAGGTGGCCAAGTCCACCACACCTTTTACACCTTCTCTTGCCCTTGCTGGTTGACCCACCCTCTTCAACTCCAACTATCATTCTCTTCCTTGGCCTTCCTGCTGCTCTATTGCATTTAGGAGAAAGGAGTTTGAAGCCAATTTCCACCTTTTTCCATTCTTCCTTGCCTGGCATAAGAGGCACAACAGTTGCATAAGCTGCTTTGAACATTTCTACAGAGTAGTAATGGTCAACAAAGTCCTCCAATTCAACTCTTCTTGTGCAAATGAAAGCTATGGCATGCACACAAGGCAGACCAGTTAACTACCAACCTCTACAAGTGCACTCTTTCTTGTCCAGATCAACAATGAACCTCCATGGGACTAGGTCCTTATTCACTCCTCCTACTTCTCCCACCATTGGGCCACTCTTGTGAATGGTGTACTTCATATTTCTACTCTTGTTGTGCAGTTCCTTCATGACATGAGGCAAATCTTGAACTCAGACAACTTTGAGGCCAGCTGCCTCCTTGTGCAAAACCTCACCATGATCAACTACCTTATCTTGTCCATGAGTTCTACAATAGGTAAGGACTTCTTCTCCCTGATCCAACTGTTGAAGGTCTCAGCTATGTTGTTGGTGACATAGTCACATTTGCTTGTTGTGCTAAACTTGGACCTTGCCCATAGATGTTTGTGATTGCCCAACAACCATGTTGTTGCCTTTGGGCATGCTTTGAGCATCTCATTCCAGTGCCTATCATGGGTTGTCTGTCTGTAGCATCTTGATGCAGACCACAAGTTCCTTTCAAACACTTATCCCCTAAATCTCTTCTAGAAATTATTGACAAGATGCCTCATGCATTCTTTGTTCTCTACACCATTTCTGAAGACTTTGGTAATAGCCTTATCTATTCCTTTACCTGCAGTTAGCAACCAAGGAAACAATGTCAGGCTGCATGGGATGAAACACTGAATGTAACACTGCATCAAACAATGAAGGAAACATACCTGCATTAGTTGAAATAACAAGACCAGGTTGGGATCCAATAGCCTTGTGTAGCATCTTCATGAACCATTCCCAATTCTCCTTGGTCTCACTACCAAATACTCCATAGGTCACTGGGAACATCCAGTTGTGGCCATCAATCCCTACTACAGCTGCTAACTGCCCCTTCCACTTTGCTGTCAAAATTGTGGAATCAATTCCTAAATAAGGTCTGTAACCTTGGACGAAGCCATCAATGCATGGCTTCAGTGCTACAAACATCCTACTGAATCTTCTCTTCTTATTCACAACCTCCCACTCAATCTCTACAACACTGCCAGGACTCCTCTTCTCAATCTCTCTCTTCCAAGAAAGCACATGTACAAAGCTATCCTCCTAGCCATCCATTACCTCATCTAAGGCCATTTGCTGGCCATCCCAAACAACATAGTAGCTCACCTAGATGCAGTACTTCTCCTCCAACTTCTCCTTCAAAACTTTAGGCCCAAGAGTTGGATCCTCCCTAAGCCAGTTTATAACTCTGTCCTTGACCCAGTGATTGGTAGCCATACAATTCCTTTCGACTTTGCTTTTGCTAGCATAGTTATGCTTGTGTGGTAACTTCTTAATCTACACCCATCAATAAAACAAGTAAAATAATGAAACAATGTGAATAGTTAGTATACAAATTCATTAAGCCCTAAATCAAACCCTAAATCAAACTCTGAAATGAACACATACCTGCCATGTCTTCCCATCTTGACACTGAGATGCATGAATCCTCCACCTACACCTATTGGCCTTACAATATGCTCTGTACCGCCGTGACTCACTATAAGGAACTGCAAGTTCAA